AAGGCAAAGGAAGAATACTCATTAGCCAATCCACACAGTGGTTTTATGGATGTTCCTAAGAGGCAGGAGTGGACAGGACTCTTATAAAACCACACATTAAATTTTTTAAGGCATTGAAATTATAATATTAGATCATAATACTGTTGGCATTTGTATTGAAAACTCTGAAATCCAGGCGATAAAGATGCCATTTTTTAAATGCTCCTTTGGGGGGATTATTCATCCATTGTCCTGATCTGCCAGGGTTATTGCTAATATAGTCACGCACACACAACAACATTTCAGTCAACGACATACCACATATATTCTGGTGGTCCCATAAGATGGTAGTGGGGCTGAAAAATTTGTAGCCATCATCAAGTCATAGCACAACATTACTATGCTGTTAGTCATATAAAAGTATAGCATGTACAATTATATATACTTCATAATACCTAATAATGACTAGTAACAACTATGTTACTAGTTTGTGTATTACTATATTAAACTTTTTATCATTATTATAGAGTGTCCTTTTAATTATTTTTTAAAAGGTTTCTGTAAAGCATTATGCCATGTTACATGGGCAGCAGGCTCATACATCTCATATTTACTTCATGTCTTGATTGCATAATTTTCTCTTGTACTTGATTTAGTCTCATATTGTTCTGTATAGTAACATGATGTACAGGCCTGTAGCCTAGGAGCAGTAGGCTCTACTAAATAGCCTAGGCATGTAATAAGCTATGCCATCTAAGTTTGGGTAAGTGCACTCTATGATGTTCGCACAATGGCAAAATCATCTAACAACAAATTTCACAGAAGGCATCCCCTTTGTTACGTAGCACATGACTAATCAAATGCTAACAGTATCTGAGGGAAAGAAACTGATCCCCTTCTTATTCGCCATCCCAGCCCACTCAGGGTATTTCCTTCCACCCTGTTTTCTGCCTTCACATCCAGTCTCTTTATTCTCATTTCTCTTCATGCAGATGAAAGGAGAGAGCAGGATTCAACCTATAATTACTGTCTACTCAGCCTGATGATTGTCCAGGCTGAAAACAGAACCAGAAACGCCCCTGAGGGTACAGGCTAGGCAAGGGGCACATTCTTCTCTTGCATTGATAAGGCCCTTTGTTTGAAGTGCAACACAGAATGAGGCTCACCATTTAAAAAAAGGCAAAGAATATTCTTGTGGACTCACGGTTTCTTAGCCAAATCCCGTATCTGACTCTAAAGCTGACCTTGGGTTCTCTCCTCTCCATCGTTGGGGGTGTCTGTGGACACAAGATACACATGTTCGATACATCAGGTGCCAGTCAACTGACCAGGATGCACTAATTTCTAAATTCCTAAAACTAAACACCAGAGAAATTATCAGCCAAATCACCAGATTTCCTTGTGTTTTCATAACCTACTGATTTGTTTATTGGTTTTCCAAAGCATGTACCCAATCAGGAGGACCATATTGTGATTCTAAGTGGACCACTTGTTTGCCCTTAACAGGCCTTGTTTTGATGTGCTGATAGGGGCTACTAATCAACAGTAATCAGTTGCACAATATAATTTTAAAAATCACTCCTAATACTTGCAATACAAATAGCATTTAAAATGTAAAAGCAATTGTGCGCTCATCAGGGCCTGACATGAGGGGAAAACGTATGTTGTGCATTTCAGTGGAGGGGGATGTGGTGTCCTTAAGAGAAAATTGCTTGTATGTATATTATAATATTTTTATCATTACGAAAGATATTTGTGTTTCAAATATAAACTAAACTATCAGTATGCATTTACATATCTAGTTTTTATAAAGCTGCAGCTTTGAACAGAAATTTATCACTGATAAAGACATTGTTGATGTCATGTATTTTATCGACACTAGAGAATTCTGCAAGTCACTTAACTATAAAATTGTAGTTTGCTCATCATGTCTCTTAATGCTGAATTTTTTACAATAAGATTTTCCATTGCAAATAACATTTTAACACAAAGAAGTACTTCCCACTCCAATGACTTACAGACACACGATTTCCATCAGCCACTATTCTGTAGTTGGCAGCAGTCATAATAAGGCTTGAGAGTATATTTAGAAAAGTCACTTAACTATAAAATTGTAGTTTGCTCATCGTGTCTCTTAATGCTGAATTTTTTACAATAAGATTTTCCATTGCAAATAACATTTTAACACAAAGAAGTGCTTCTCACTCCAATGACTTACAGACACACGATTTCCATCAGCCACTATTCTGTAGTCGGCAGCAGTCATAACAAGGCTTGGGAGTATATTTAGAAAGCAGCCCTTCTCAGCCTCTCACTAAGGCTCTCCTTCATTCCTCTGCAGAAGAGAAGAGGAAGCACAAGAAGAATCACCTGATGCAGAACCCGATTCCCACTTCATGGATGTGAAGCGCCCAGGATGCTATGAAATCACCACTGTCACTAGCTATGCACAAATGGTAGTTGTGTGGTGGCTGCTCCACAGTCCTCCATCAGCTGACAGGAGGAAAGGCCAGGCTAACAGAAGGATGCTCCTTCTAAAGGAAGCAGCACCAAAAGCACCTGAATCAAGACACATGGAGACCATCCCCATAAGCACATTTTGGATGCGTCCTATTCATTGTCTTATTCTACCACTAGGAAGGTCCTAGCCCAAGTTTTAGGGATAACCAGAAGAGTGGCCTGCTAGAGTCCTTTGGGGGCAATCTGTGAAATAAAATGAAGGCAGTTTCCAAATCAGAATTCCATGGTGTTGAACATAAGAAGTCCTTACCTAGGAAGATGAAAGCTGCTGATGCCAACACAGCAAAGAGGGTAAAGAGGGGGATCTGGTAGGAACCCATGAACTTCTGGAGGACACCTGCACCCTGATCTATGCATAGGCCAGAACAAAGGAAGGTACTAGTTATTTAATAACACATCCAGGGCGGAGGCTGCATTTTTAACCTTGAGTGGTCATAAGAGTATCCAGCAGAAGTGTTCAAAACCCAGCCCTCTAGGAAATTGTTTGGCTTCTTACCAACCTAAAGAGGTGAACTATACCTGGCTCGCTCTGTTTGGCTTTTTCCTATATCCAAAGCAATAAACTCCTCCAATTCTTGAGCCTCTATTTCTTCTTCTCAGCTTATAAAAGAATATTTAAATCCTCTGTCACTTGAGAGTGCCTGTTACCTTTCCTGTGCGCTTGGACTTGAGTAATATGCTTCCCTTCACCAAATGTATGCAGTCTATGGTGATTGGATTTCTAAGTCTAATCCCTCCAATGTAATATGCTTCTTTGGTTCTCCAATGACCTCTAAAAACCCAAGGGTCCCTTAGCTTTTTTTACTCAAAACATCATTTCAAGGGAACATTGGTTTGTATATAACCTTGTCTTCAATAAAACTTTACACTCCTGTCTTTGGAACATAAAATAGATAGATAATAGATAGACAGATGATAGATAGGTAGAGAGATAGATAGATAGATAGATAGATAGTTAGATAGATATAGATGGATGATAGATGATAGATAGATGCTAGATAGATAGATAGATAGATAGATAGATGCCACTACAGTGTGGCTTCTGCCTGCTAATCTGTGACACACTGAAAGTACTACAGTCTCCCCTGTTCTTATTCATGGCATTCAGTATTTTCCTTTGTAGTACTTAACCCACAATCTTTTTATCTTTTTCTAAGTATCTCACACATGTGTCAGGTTATGCAATCATAATCTGAGATTATAAAAAATTACACACCTGAATAGTTGCTTATTTTCTGTGTCTGTTCTTCTGATTTGCATTCCAAGAAATCAGGGACTGTGATAATTTTTTTTTCCACCATCATTCCACCAGTACACTTGAGTACCCAACACATAGGAGGTGCAAAATAAATAATGTGATAAATCAAAATTGAGACAGATGAAAAAGACTGGGCCATCACTTTACAGTGGTACCAAGTCCCTTGATGTTATTTTCTCCATATCCAAGGCAGTCAGTGACTCCCCATCACCTGGCAGATTCAGTCAATGGGTCCTCCCTTGCCCCTGACTCAGTAACATGCAGAATGCCGTTCCATGGGTGGGAAGTGGGGGATGAAAGTGAAGGTGAGGCAGAAAGGGGCTTCATTGGTTCTTCACTGCTTCAGAGACATTCCTTGTTGAAAAGTTCCAAAAAATTTTAGTTATTTTTATGATGTACTTTTCTATATATATACAGGGGTGTATCATAAAATTATATAAATTATGCATGTTCAAGTTATTTAACATAAAATCAAGGTTTGAAAGCTTAATTCTGGATATTCAATGGCACTTACCCCTTTCTAATAAGTACCAATCTCAAGTCAGACACTCATTTAAAAATTTATTAATTCTCATTATTTTCACATTTTCATTATATGTTCTTCAAAATAAAATGATGGCTTGACTACAATCTACAAAAATCAACTGATATATTAACTCAGACAAAAAGAAACTGCTCAAATAAAAACAGCATCATCCAAGATGGGTAGGAATCCATAAAAAAAGGATTAATCTGAAATGGAGAACACAATAGTTGAAATAAAGCATACACTGGAAGGAATAAACAGTAGGTTGGGTGACACAGAGGATCAAATCAGCGATCTGGGTGTCAAGGTAGAAGATGGGTAGGAGCCACATGAACCACTCAGGTCTAACTCATCACAATTAGCATGAATTCATACTTAACACAGAGTGAAGCCTAGTGAGAGGGATTACACCTGTCTCCCTATAGCCCTCCATCCCTACGAAACCTTTTATGTAGAAACAAGTAATGCAGAACTAAAGGTAACATTTGTAAAACACAATTCTAATTTAATACTGGCCAAGTTTTCTAGTCAATAGGTTATAAATGAAGTGGTTTATAATTTATGCCTAGAACTGAATTTAAAATAAAAAATATATGAAAACTTCCTTAAATAATGAAAGCCCATGTGAAGTCC